AGATGAAAGTGCGTGACAGACGCACACACAGACACACAGACGCACAGACACACGGACACACAGACACACAGACACACGGACACACAGACAAGCTCTCGTCAATATGCGTTTTTTGCATTGCATTGCTGCAAAAAACGCATAAAAAGTTCAAATTCGGCTGTCGCGCACGCTTGTACAGCACATACGATCACATCAAAATTTGCAACTTGGTACTGTGCCAACTCGAAAACTTGCCGGAAAACAGTGGCTGAAATTTTGTCATAATATTTAGCGCCCTTATGGGGAATCGTATGCCTACATCGAGTTCCGATTTGCAATTACGCCATAACTTAGGGCACTTGAAATATACTTGTGGCGAAGTGGCTATTTCGCTTACCGGATAAGGTGCGAGGCTGAAACTTCTCTGTGGTATTCTACTTTTATGCTTGATCTTAATTTTGCTTGGAGGTGAAATTCCCTGCAGGTGGTTATGAGGGATACTCAACTTTATTGCAAACGCAGAAACGAGTGCATCTTGCAGCGAACGACCGCCCTCATCCTCTCCTCACATTCAATTCATTAACATGTTTGGATTTTTCGACGATCTACCGTTCTAGCAACGTTTCCACTTTTTAATGAGGAGCTGAAATTTCTGCATCCTCAAAAATTTGTATTTTTCATTTTTCCAAAAAGCGAGCATTTACTGAAAAAACGACCGGGCTTCATGCAAAAACCTGGTAATCGTGTACCTGTAAGTCCATGCGGCCCTATGATGCAACACCATCCCAACCGACTCCCTTTTTCTTGCATGCCAAAAGAGGTCAGAGCACAGCCAATATGAGTCCAAGTGTTAGGTTACGGCGCAGGGATCATTCCTGCTATTAGCGATCTGCGAGTTTAGTGCTAAAACGCATGGTCGCACAAGCAATCCTGGTGCGTTCCAGCCTGGAACATTTACAGGCACGTGAGATTTTTGGTGGGAAAATTACTGACTCGGAAATCAGAAGGGCTAGAGGCAGAAACTTTGAGATGTTCCCTTCCAGCGTACGATTTAAAGAGCTTGGAGACAGTGTCTAAGCACATCTAGTTCTTACGTTTAGCACGCGAGAGTTTTATGCATACTTCATCATCCCCTTCTTCCCATATTCTGCTGTCAATTAATAAGACTCGGCTCGGCCGGCACTCTTGCATCTCTGCTAGCGTTAATTCACGGAGATGGTCGCCGATTTCACTTGGTACTTTGCCAGGAGTGCTGGGTAGTGCTACACGACGCACCACGACT